GTAACTCGAAATTTAATTTGTGAAACTCTAATAAACTATTTTATGCACTCACATTATTATGCAACATTAATAACGAAATTTTGCAGCCATAGGAGAAGCTGTCCTTATATAACCACCCTTTAATACAGCTCTTTTTCTAGCTGCGATAGGTAGTCCAGGAACATGTGTACTTTCACAATCCAAGTGAAAGAAATATGGGCAATACTTGTAAACGCAACTATTTTAAGCAACGCGATCGTTCATTAACGCAACACTAATTCTTAGAGTAAATTTAATACAAAATTTGCTATTATTACACAAGTCAAAAGCTATTTCAAATATACCAATAAATTACAATACTATGTAATAAATTTGAGTTTAAAAAAAAAAGGATCAAAATAATTAAAACAATCGCTATTTTGTGAACAACAATAGCAAACGCGATCATCATTTTATCGCAACACTAATTCAACCCGTAGTTTATTTAGCGCAACACTAATTCAAAATCGCGAGTTGCCCAGGTTGACTGGATTCGGTGGGCCGGCATGCAAATCGGCCAGACGACACAACAATTACTACATATTACTAAAACGAGCACAGTGACAAAATAGTAACAATGACTTCCCATTCTTTGGATCCAAGCAATTGGATCGAAAAAATGAGAAGCCATTCGTTGCAGCCCTCTTCGTGACAGTTTGTCGGGCCTCTTCGCTTTCTCTCTTCGGGCGCGATGCCCGCTGAAACTTATAAACTAGGCTCGAGATTCCCTGCGCGCGAATAAAAAGAAAAAGGAAAAAAAAAAAAGACTAAATCGCGAAAGCTGAACGCGCATGGACGACCAATGATCGCAGCGATCATTGTCCGCGCATGCGCAGAATCTCGAGCTCAACGTTCGTTTCGAAACCATTCGCGACCGCGACCGCGAACTCGAAAGATCGACGAGCAAAGCCAGAAACGAATAACCGATCGACGATTCATTCGTCTCAGCCCCCCTCTCGATTTTTCAAATTTTTCAATCTCCTGAAACAGGTTGCCACGCGAAAAACGCGCCTACCCGAGAACAGAGACCGTGGCAACCTGCCCGGCCCTACCTACTTACGATTAAACAGACACACCAGAATGTATGCTACCTATCCTGCCTAGCTCTATATTTAAAATGAAATATGGCAAAGCAGGCATACCAACACACTCATTCAACGATTCTCACGCATAACGCTCGGGCGCAAAAAGCCTACACTAGGGAAAACGTCCCGGGACGCCTCCGACACCCGAGCTTGGCACACTGCTCCCACACTCTAACTTTACGTACCATTTTCCTGAAATCGACTGACGATGGCTAGCAATCATTGCGTGAAAAGTAATAAAATTTTATATATACGTATATAATTTTATTCACTCTTTAATTATGAATATCTGTATTATTGAAATAAGATTAATTGTTATTAAATTTAAAATTGAATTAATAATTGTTAAAACGACGCAATTCCACAGCCTAACCATACACACAATGTGGAAAATACGTCGCGCACGATATACTAACGCATCGTCAATCGCTGAAAAATTGTTATAAACTTATAAACTTATAGGATCATCATGCTCATCGCCTTTCTCTCACCCAAGTAGCACCTGGGCACGTAAGTGAGATCCTGGCAATGAGCACGGAAGGGGTTAAACCTGAAAATCCTGAGCTAAAAAGATATATTAGTATAAATATTAACGGGCTAATGAACTTTGACCTTTTATATTCTCATTTTACTTAAAATTTGAATGAATCTATTTTGTATTATATTCTTTGTCAATGTAATAAATTTTTTATTATTTATCTTAATATTTTATAAGAAGAATTACTTTAGTTAAAAGGGAATATATATTTATAAGAGATTAAATTGCAATTGAATTAATTAATTGAAAATTAAATATTAAAAATTAAATACCCTCAGGCGACTTCCTCATCAAAGCATATTTTTGAAAATATGAAAGAAATATTCAAAACTTACAGCTCTGATTTCAAAGTCTACCTGTCGCGAAATGTCTTCTTGCACGTAACATTTAATAGTTTCAAACGAGAGCGATAAAATTTTACTTCTTTTAAATCTATTATAATTATTCGAAAATCGATATTAAACATGATTTTTTGTTTAGTCGAATATTCGCATCTAATTCATACACGAATATTCATAATTTTAGATATTTGATGTTTGCAAATATCCATAATGAATATTTTATAGTTATAATAATTTAACTTTAGAGGTAATTAACTTGGAATTGTTATTAACAATTAAAAACGCGATGTACAAGAAGACTTAGCCTAAACTAACAAATAAAACGAAAAAAAAGAAATGTTACTATTCACGGGTACTAATAAATACCCGTGGTCACTGTGCTCGTGCAAAATTCTACGTATACAACCAGTCATCCGTGTCGATTCGGATCTTTCATCCTACGACATGATTGAATGACCGGAGGAATCAAAATGCATGCGACTCACCAATAGATGCGAAGAATCTGCATTGGTATTAATCCATGGGAAATCGTCATTGAATAATAGGAAATGGAAACTGTAACAAAAAATGGAACAATATAATTTATGATATATATATAAAATGATTATTTAAAAAAAAGTGAAATAAAAAAAATTATTACCTCTTCGCGTGATGGATGATCGCTTTATGCTCTTGAATCACTGACTCTAATATATACGCGAAACGAATATAAAAAGGAAAAAAGAAAAAAAAATAAATAAAATAAAAGATCATTGATGCGATTGTTTAAATTACAATTGGCGAACAAACACTGATTCTACTTTCATGAATACTTGTTATAATTACATTAGAACAATTATGCTCTAAAAAATACTTAAAATACTATTACGAATAAACACTAATTCTATAAACCGCATTGCACGCGGTCACAAATGTTTAAAACTGATAAAGTCCAGGAGAAGATAAAGCTATCAGCACCTTAAACAAAACATAAAATATCACATATAATATTTTTTTATAAAACCATAGTATTGATCATTGAAAGCAAAAATATAACAAATAAAATTAAAATTTAAAAATTAGAAATCTAATGAAAGAAATTTTAATAGAAATATAGTTACCTCTTCATGTGATGCCTTGGATGATTGCCTTATACTCTTGAGAGAAGCACTGACTCTACATCTCTGCACCGAAAATGAATATTTAAAAAAAAAAGAAAAAAATAAGAAGCTATTAACACGTCCATTTATATTGTATAATCGATAAACAAACACTGACTCTACTTTCGCGAATAACTATTACAATTAAATTAAATTAGAGCAGTTTTGCTCTAAAAAATATTGAAAACACTATTACGAAGCAAATACTGATTCTACTGACCGCATTGCGCGCGATCACAAAAGTTCACTGAGAATAAAAAATGGGGTGAAATGAAAAGAAGTAAAATATTTTGTTTTAATATTTTTCTTCTTTTTTCTATAAAGCATGTTTGAGAAAATAGTGCTATTTTTTTTGAAATGACAATATTTTTTTATAAAGAATTATTAAAAATTATTAAAAATATTAAAAATTAATTTAATCTATTTAAGATAAAAAAATTTTAAATAAAAAGTTCTTTTAATTTTTTTTATCCTAATAATATATTAATATATTATGAATTACGTAACAAACATAAATAATAATCGTATTTGTTTCTAATATAACAAATCAAACGTTACCATTTCATTATGAAAAGTTATCAAATTGAACATCATGTTGGAATGTTCGTTGTGGCGTCCATATTTGAATCCCTTTTTCCCGCCTTGAAAGTTATTTCACCAGTTAGATATTAATCTGTATAAAAGATAATCAAATATTTTAAATAAATATATAAAATGTATGAAATTAAAATTTATTATATTTATTATAATTTATTATATTAAAATAAAACAACCAAGATTAAATTATCTTAGAAATTTATAATATGAGCTACCAGTAACGCTAACGGTCAAACAAACGAATAAAGGTAAAAAAGAATAAAAGTTGTTCTTCAAAATACTATTATAAAATCAATTATAATAATATTCAATATATTATTAAATTAATTAAAGAATAGTATCCTAAAAACAGAAAAATAACTATGGAAATAAATATTATACAAAATAAATTACGTACCTGAAACGAAGCGTCTAAGCGTCACAACTTTCGAGAACAGAATGATATCTCGAACGCGTAGCGATTTCAATATATCGAATTAAATTGAGGGAAGAATTTGTTCGATAATTCGATAAATCGGAATCCGTCGAATACGCAAGCACGAACGCAAACTATTAATTTCTCGAAAAGGCTGTAATATTATAAAAAATGTTTTTAGCCTTCTTAAGCGTAAGATTCTTAAGTAAAATCAAAACAAACATAACAATAATATACGAATTGAACGTACAGTTAGATACATTTAGGAATGAAATGTGCGATAATACATAAATTAAAATTGATTATAAAACTAAGTTGTTTATTACAATAAAACTCTTATCATATTTGTATAAAAGTTACCTTCTCATTATTACGATCACATTTTTAAACTCATCAAACAACAATTTATACAAATAAGAATCAAATTAATCACTGCCGATGAAATGCAACCTGTTACCACGATTTTCAAGAACAAACTGACGCCATGTCATGGACATGCGCGCTGTATCGCCTATCAGCTTTCTGATTGGTTGAAGCTGTATTGTTTCTTATTCGTTTAAATCCGCGCGAAAATTGAATACATTGTAATACATTTTAATTATGATTGTGAATATTTTCAAAGTATGATAAATAAATAAATAAATAAATAAATAAATATATATATACATAAAATGCTGAATTCTATAAATCAAATTTAAAAATAATTAACGATTACTACATTTATATACATATACAACTTCTTTTATTCCAATTGCAATATTGTTTTATTGCATTTTAATTGATATCTGTTACAATATTTATATATAATTTATACTAATTTAAAATAGATTTTAGAAGAATTTTTTATGTAAAGTAAAAAAAAATTTTTTTCATGTATAATTTTTATTATACACTTATTATAAAAATTTAATAATATATTATTTAATGATGTGCAGCGGCTTTCCTCATTTGGACAAGAATATTTCCAAGTTCTTCACGCTTCCTTTTAGCTCTGATATGTGTACCCAACTATAAAATTTAAAAAAATGGAATATAAAATTATTTATTTATTTAGATAGATAAAAACAGATAGACAAGTAGAAAGAAAATCTAAGGTTATATAAAATTTATTATATAATTTATTAATATTCTTACCCTTCTTTTTAAAAATTCAATGCACGTTTATCCTTGGAAACTTTCAATAATTCCATAGCACGCTTTTCATATGGTGCATGACCAGTTACTTCACGAATTAAATCTCTGACAAATTTGCTATGTTTAGTTTGTCTCTAAAATTAAATTAAAAATTTTATATTAAGAATCATTATTATATTAATTACTTTTGATTATCCTTATACTATTTCAATGAAATTCTCACCTCAAAAATCATAATTAATAAAAAAAACGTAGAAAAAAAAAAAAAGCAAAAATATTTCTAAACAATAAAATCTATACTAACCCCTTTTAATCTTGCTGGTAAAACACATACTGTTTTTTTCTTCTCATTTTTATTTTTTGCCACACGAATTTTAGTTGTTTTATGGCCTCTATTAAGACCAACTGCTAATTCAAATCTTGGAGCCATCCTGCAAAATTAAAAACTGTGAGTTATACAAATTAGGTTAGCGATCATAATAATATACACATAAAATATACACATTATATGATTTAATATTGAATTAATTATATTGCAATATCTTAAATATGTATTTATTATTACATGAATAATATTTATTTAGCAAGATTATACAGATATTTTGAGATTCAATTTGACACAAACCTTCACAGTTAAAATACACTCATAAGAAGAAATACAATCGTGCTTGTTCTCGTAGACAGATTTTTATTTGTCTTTATGCGCATGCGTTAAAATTAACTAGTCCGATTTACAAATGTGCGACAAGAAGCATATTCTGTCTTTTAGATTTCAAATGTTTAATTATTACATAATTTAATTAAATTTTTCCGCAATATTAATATTTAAGCAATAAAGATAAAAAATTTAATAATTATTTTCTTATTATATAATTCTTAACTTTTTATTAAAAACCTCTCATTATAGAATTAATATAAATTAAAATATTTTATTCTATTTTATTCTGAAATAAATATTTTTCATAAAATATGATATAAATACTTAAACTCTTTATGCTTTATTTTGGACATATGTATGACATTTTATGATATATATTTTTTATACTTTGACATAGATTTTAATATTTCGTAAGATGGATATCCTGCGTTATATTCACCAAATTTGTTTCAACTTCACAATTATGATTCGTAATTGCTACGGTGTCAAATTTTTAAAGAGGATTTTTTAATTTATATTACAAAACGGTATGTACGTGTTGTACACAATTGTGTCACTTTTATTAAAATTATTCATTTCATAACATTAATTATCACTGACAAGAAATCATGTCTAAAATGAAAAACATTCCAAATAACTTAACCAAATGGGATCTGTCAGAAGATTCTCTGGCACCTTTAACTGATTATCAAAAAGAATGTTTATTGAATTTGGAGGAAGAATTATTTCCTGATAATAAAATTAAGACTGAAAAAACAAGTGATACAGTATGCACAAATGAAGAAACTACAAAATCAGTACAAATAGAACGATATCAAGATCTACTAGAACATTATGCCAGATTAGAAAAAAAATGTGTGGACAGGAAAGATATGAAATACATATTATATCTTAATGAACTTGAAGCTCGACGGCAAGAATGTCATGAACTTTGTCTTCAAATAGAAGAAGCATTAGAAGACTTTACTATGTTATATAAACAATATTCAGAAGTATCCGATAAAACAATATCTCTTTATGATGCTAGTGAACAACTTGATTCTGATCAACGAAAATTAAATTCTATCATAGAAAACATTACAGAATATGTGAAATATTTTAAAGATATTGATATGATGATGGAAAAATTAGAAGCACCTACATTATCAGTGAACAGTGAAATGTTTTTTAATATATTAGATAAAATTGATACTAATATAGATTTTGTTCAAAATAATCTTTCATTTAAAGAAAGCAATACTTATTTAATCAAATATAAACATTGCCAATCTAAGGCAATATCAATGATGCAAAATTATATTTTTAATCTATTTAGCAAAACAACAGAAAGCATTTTAAATTTAAAAGATAATGATGATTCTCAAGATAATGCTGATGCAGCTTTAGCCCTTTTTTATGGAAGATTTCAAACTATTTTGCCAAAAGCTAAGCCAGTTATAGAACAAATTGAAGCAAAATCTTATAAAAGACAAGAATATGATAGTTTATTATCAGAGTGCCATCAATGTTATTGGAGTCAAAGAGGATTAGTATTAGGTAGTAGTGTTCAAAAATCTTTAATATCTGTAAAGGAGAAATACAATGGTGATCATTGTAGTTTGGTAAGAAATTCATGTGCATTATTATTACATGCATCAATGGATGAGTATAAATTATTTTATGAATTTTTTTCTAAAACAAGTAATGGATTAACAGCATATCTTGAAAGCTTATGTACTTCTTTATATGATACATTGAGACCATTCATAATTCATATTAATCATTTAGAAACATTAGCTGAAATTTGTTGCATTTTAAGAATTGAAATGTTGGATGAACATGTTCAAAATAATTTTGAACCTTTAGAAGGATTTGGAAATATTTGTTTGCAGTTATTACATGATGTACAAGAGAGACTTGTGTTCCGTGCACATCTATATTTGCAATCTGATGTTTTGAATTATAACCCATCACCAGGTGATTTAGCTTATCCAGAAAAGTTAAAAATGATGGAAGATATAGCAGAGTCAATAAGAGAAGAATCCAGACAAACAAAGATGAAAAAGATATCTATTTCATCTAATGATGATAATATTTTAGAACCAATATCCAGAAATCATATAGAAATGGATTCTATTTATCAAAAAACACATATAGGTAATTCACCTGCAGATCTTCATGGAATGTGGTATCCTACTGTTCGTAGAACATTAGTATGTTTATCAAGATTATATAGATGTGTGGACAGATCAGTTTTTCAATCCTTGAGTCAGGAAGCAATATCTCTTTGTGTTCAAAGTATAGAAAATGCAAAGCAAGAAATTGAAAAAAGGGCATCATCTTTAGATGCAGAACTTTTCCAAATAAAGCATTTGCTCATTTTACGTGAACAAATTGCACCTTTTCAAGTAGATTTTACAATAAAAGAATATAGTTTGGATTTTTCAAAAGTTAAAACAGCAGCATTTGGTTTATTAGAAAAAAGTTCAAGACTTTTTACATTGTCAAATAATGCATTATTAGAATTTTTATTGGAAGGAGCACCTCAAATGAAAGAACAACTAATAGATTCAAGAAAACATGTAGATAATAAATTGAAATATGCTTGCCAACGTCTTATACAACACGCTACATTTTTATTAATACACCCAATTTTAAAACTATTAGACAAGGAAAAGTTACATGCTAATAATCCGGATGCAACTCAAGAACATGCTCTTGGAAATCCTCAAGATGTTGCAGCAGCAATATGTGAAGCATTGAGGATAATTAAGTTTAAATGTCCTGAAATTCAACAATTAATGCAATTATATCTCTCTAATAAGGAGACAGAATTTATTTTATTTAGGCCAGTAAAAAATAATGTTTGTGCTGCATTTACTCAATTATATCAGATATTGAGTAAATATTATAATTCAGAGGAACTTCTTCTAATTGCATGTCCATTACCAGAACAAATTTCTGTTATATTGAGCTCATCCAGTCTTATTCATGGAAAAAGCACACAAAATAATTTAAAAAAAACGTAGCAAAAATAAATTAGTCAGCTTTTGTAATTATGCATTGCATATTAACATCATTTGCAAATCAAATATTAAATTATATTATATAATCAAATTATTATTTTTTCTTTTATGTTTTCCTTTTTAAAAAATAATATTAATATATAATAAATACTTTATATTTTTAAATAAATTATGTAAAATGTGTATAAATAATTCAATAATTGCTATAAAATAGCTTAGACATTCAAATTACAAAAGTTATTGCAATTTATAACGTCCTGTATTAAAGAGTACTATATTTTAATTCTTTGTAATGTACTTTAAGAATTACGCGTAATTTTTATATTACGAAAATGTACATATTTAAAATATTAAATTAAGTTAATATCACAAAATTTGTACATCCCTTTAATAGGGATTTATGATCTTAAATAAATTTTTATAGACATTGTCATGAGTTTCAAACAAAAAAAATTATATATTTTTGTAGTAAAATACTATGTCATATTGCGATAATTCTAGGAATTTAATTTAATTTCTTCAATTGTATACATTGAAAACATTAATTGAAAATAATAATTAATTGTTAATACATATAAATTAATGATGTGCATTATATATCGTTATTTTGATCTTATAAAAATATACTATTCTTCTATTCTTTTTTTTTTTTTTATATAAAATAATAATGTAATTATTTACAATTAATTATTAATTTATAAATTTTTTTTATTATATTTAATTACATTAATTTCCATATTCAAAGAAAATAATTTAATATATAAAATTGATACTTAATGATTAAGTTAATTTTTCTATTAATTTATACAAGTTTGACTACAGGATTTAAAATATTAGGGGCTGGACTATATTCTTCTTGAGATTTACTCTCGTAAGATTCTAAGGGAAAGTGCCGATTAAATTCTTCAGTAATATTTGTTATTGGTGGATGTAAGTAATCTTCCACAGAAACATATTTCGGTCCGCCAAATGTATCTAATACTACGATTGAAATTATCTTCAATTTTGCGAAATAAAAATGATGATCTGTAATATTGAAAACAATTTTTTAAAATTATGTTTTAACCGATATTATTTTTTAAAAAAATTCTTACCTTCAGGCATATTAACCAATCCTGGATGACGTGTAAAAAATACTTTTTTAGCGAAATTTAATTCCATACTTTCATTCTTTAACTATAAAAAATATAATAATTATTTGTATTATTATTACATTATTAATTGTATTATTCTAAATTAAAAAAATAAAATGTACTAACTGATTTGATTTTGCCGGTTAAAAGAATTCTGGCGCAACGAGGATCCATGGGATCCCATTGTTTGGATTTACAGTATTCCCCTTGAGCTAATGTCATTAGAAGTGACGCCCGATTGTCTTTCTGTAATTATAGAAAATAAAATTATTTTTAATTATCATATTTTAAATACTATAATAAGTTTTTATCAAGATTTTAATCAAAAAGAAAAAAATCAATATATTGTTTACTATCTTATCAATTGATGATATCAAAAATAACATCGTCGAAAATACATATAAAGATAGATTTTGTTGTGTTACTGTAATGCGTACTGTAAGATCTTGAGCTGTGAAATCTAAAGGAGTAAGATAAAGATATGGAATTCCTGATCCATTTCCTAAAAGTCCATCAGTATAAGAAACTAAAGTTACGGCTGGAAACGATTTGATATCTTGTCTTGTGCTTATTGTTGCCACGGATACCCAGTCTGTATACATAAAAATATTAACAAATTAATAAATTGATTAAATATTATATGATATAATAATTGATATATGTAATTTGAAATGAAAATATTCACACGTAAAAAAATTATTTATATATGTATATATTTATTACTCTCGGGTATTATTTCATTTTTTTACTATTAATTTCATTATTCACTCTTTCAAATAATTTTCCTATAAACTATTGAATTTCAAAGAATTATATTTCTGTTATACTATAACATAATAAGAATAATTAATAATTATTAATTATATTTATAATTAATAATTAAATCGCTTGCATTACGCGATTTAATATTTCGATTAAATAATCGGTATTTAATACTTGATATAATTAGAAAACAATTTATCCACTAAATTTAAACAAAATGATATGTATTTATTTAAAACTGCGAAAATTTGATAAATTGCCAAAATTAATTATATGCGTAATTGTAACTCCAATTCTAATATTAACCTCTATCTAATATTTAATACAGATAAGCACATATCATACATGCATACATTTTTTTATTCGCTTCGTGATTTCCGCGAATGATTCATATTTTAAATGTAAATGTATATATACGAATATTAATAATTTCTTTGTATTTGTAATTTAATTTAATAATACTTTCTTTTGAAAAATAAGATGTTTGTGCAAAGTTTAAAACAAGCAAAAATTATAATGTCATTTATTATAATATGATATAATTGATATACATACCCAGATTCATAAATAAATTCTCTTTCAAAATATATTTTCTTACCAGCTTGATTAACAATGTATCTTGCCATTAAAGCTGCCTGATTAATAGGTGGTGGATTATTGACAGAAAATTGTTGATCTTTCTTTGGCGATTTATACATATCATGATTTTCATGATATCGTTTTTCGTATTTAACTTCTCGTTGACCATTTTCACGTATTTCCTTTGCCTTTTTCCATTTCATATACTCTTCAAACTCTTGCCATTGTTCTTCTTCTGAAAATTCCAAATATTTCTTCGCTTCGATCGTCAAAATCATGAAAGCAAGAAAGATCGTGAATCGCAAATTCATGGTTTGTGTCCACAGTTGCTCACTCCGACGGTAAACGTTAACTAAAACGCGAGAATCTTTTCTCGCGTATTTTGTTAAATTATGTTACATTTGCAGTCTTCTTTTGAATTTATCACTTATATAGGCGCGTATCTGCCAAAAGTATGACGACAAGTATGAGCTCCAATGACTGTTCACTAGCTCAAGGTCAATATATTGAACATCAAATTTATATATCATGCTATACGAGCAAAATTGCTTTGTTGGTGGGTAAACCTAACCTAATATTTATAAAACATCAAGCATTTTATTATTATGCTCTCGTTACAGTTGATCGAAGATATTGTGCAAAATTATTGAAATATATATTACATTGTGTTAAACAATCATGAAAATTATCTTGAAATTTACGTTGAAATGAAATTCTAAATTTAAACAATATTAAAAAATTTTTATAATTTTGAACATTCTGCAAATCAATCGATCGATCACAATAATAGAAGTAGTGTTTCATTTTATATTGGATGGGAGCATTTAAAAAATTATTGGTAATAAACAGTAAATAAGAAAAGTGCAATTTCACAAAAAAGAGGTTATTACTTTTTTTATATAGTAAAATTGAATAATAACGCATAATTTATTCAAATTTGTTTCATTTAATATTATTATTGAGTATATTAAATGAATTATAAAATATTTACTTAAACAAAAAAGCAGAAATCTATTAAAATTTGAATGAAAATTTGTAATTTTTGCAAAAATTTTCACAAATGAAATATATATTTATTTTTAAATTAGAAAATTAAATTTTTGAATGAACTTCTAAATAAGAGGAATAATATAAATACCTGTAGATATTTATATTCAGTTTAATTTCAATTTAATATTTGCTTGAACAATAAAATACAACAAGCAAATTTACTATCAGTCTTATAATTGTTATATTTGCTTTTATTTCTTTATATATTTCTAAAGAATAATTTGATAAGGCATATTTTGTATGCACTGCATTTGTGTATTTTGAACTTTGTCAATTATTATAAGTACTTTTTTTTTTTTTTTTACAGAATATCTTTGCACACGATCCAATTTTTTGTATTTATATATTGAACATCATTATTTGACAAAAGCTGATATCTATTTAATTTTAAATATTTTCTATTATTTTTGATTATAATTCCAAGCAAGAGAGATCAAGTCAAATTATTTAAATAAATTTTAATTATATATATAGGGTGAAATGAAATTTGCGAATAGTACAATAATAATAAAATAATATAACTTGTATATATTTAAAACCTAAGTTGTGAACAGAAATATAAACAAAAAATGATTTTAAGAAATATTTTTTGCCTTGAATGTTTACAATATATTGTATATTGTTAATTTTTAAATTGAATGAAAAATGTAAAATGATAAAATCATTCAAATTTTGTGGAGCATCAAAGCACGATATCTTAAATTTACTTTAATTATAATTGGTCACACTTTTCTTTTTTTCTTTTTTTTTTTTTTTTTTTTTTAGAGAATACTGTTTAGTTATACATAACGAAAAGAAAATTTGATCAATTTATAATTTTATTCTTATAATTTTAATGAATCCCAAGGGTGAGAACTGCACTGAATCACAAAGTTTTGTTTTTATCAAGATGGAGACGTTATGCATATATTTTAATGCTTAAGTCACTGCCTTACAATATTCCTTCAACGAAAATAAAATTCCGTAGAAATATTTCAAAAAATTATGAATAGAAATATTCAACAGGTGGATCTTACAGCACATAAAATTGTATTTACACGTGTACTCGTCAAAAACAATTTATCAATTTACAACAAAACATAATCTCTCTGAAAGAATTCGCTATCTCTAGCAACATTTATCCATTATACTTTATAATTTTTATAATATAAAAATAAACGTTCGTTGCACACTTATACAATTTTTTTCGTTTCAGAAAAAAATTAAGCATTTTTTACATTTATATTTTCGTTAGTTTGAATTATTTTTTATATAATTGGTAAGGCAGTGATTTATCGTTATCGGACAAATTGATATGTATTATAACATGTGGACAAGAATGCTAATGCTAAGAAGATTCGAATGATAAAAATTTAATAATGGTGGCAACGATAATAAAATGATAAAAATAGATGATAGATAAAAGATAAGTGATAAAATAAATTAACAATGTTAAAATATAATTAACAATGCTTTTGTACATTAATAGAGATAGCGATTTCCTTCATAAGTAATATACACTCTCTCTCTGTTTCTCTGTCACTCTCTTTTTCTTTCACTCTTCCTTTCTCGCTTTCTTTCGTACGGAAACAACGCCTCTTTCGTTTACATTATAAGCAAAAAGGTAAACATTATTCTTCTCTATCCTTCTTAAATTAACGCTAAAAAACGTGTAACGATTGCACTGTCGACTTCACTAAAGTCATTGTATTTACGCAACAAAATGTTACAAGTATAAAAAATTTACGACAAGTACGGCTTCTCGAGTAAATTTATCGCTAACAACCACGCCGGCGTTTATTTCACAGCAATAATGCTGATAAACCTTCATTTTTCGTATCTTTATTATTTCTCTTTTCATGCACTGTTCTTACATGGGACAACTAATCATATATAATTTGATTGGTCACCGCGTTTCGAGATTCACCGTTTTTGCCCCTTGAGCGTCGCATCGAACATATTCTTGTCCTCTATCTCATATCTTTTTCCCTTCCCTTCTTCGTTTCTCTTTTTTTCCCTTTTCATTTTCTTTTAGAAACTTCTACTACCTTCCATTTGCTTACGCGAAATACTTCCAAAAATGTCAACATACATAATAATTTATTTCTGTTATATTACAATAAATCGTTCTACAATAGTCGAGAATAGAGAGCAGCGATTTTTACAGTTCAATTGGCACATCAGATGCGCGTGCACGATCGCTAGGATCGCGAGAAAAATGATATAGGAGAGAAAAAATGAAGCGAAATAAAAAAAAAACTATCCTTGGAGGAGGACAGAAACGATGAACTTGTAACAAAAGCGAAACAGGGATAAACGGGAAGAAAGGAAATGAACGAATATATATATGAAAGGAGAGAGGGGAAACGAGAGGAAAAATCGGTGTACAGAGATGCCGAGGTGAATATGATATCACTGATATGCATGGTGGGGGGGGGGGGGGGACTTTGGGCTCAGAATTTTCAGTTACTTAAGTACACGTCTCTCGCGTGCTGGCGCACGCCACTAGGACGTCGAACTATACCAACCGTTTGTCGTCGATTTGTTCGTCGGATGGTAAATGTGGAAACCAGCTCCAGCGGCCGGATGATGGTAAAATTGCGCTTGCTCGCTCAAACCAGCCGAGGCGTAAGCCGCGGCAGCGTCCAACGCGCTAGGATGAACGGCAGCCGAATATACTTGAGGCTTCAAAGGCAATGGTTGCGCTGGCTCGTATTGGTGGCGTAGCACGGGGTCAGTGTAGGCCGATGAACCCTCGTAGCTGCTTATCACGTTCACCGGATGGAGTTGTTGTTGCTGCTGTTGTTGCTGTTTGTCCCTCGGTGAAACGGATGACGGTGGAGTCATCGCCGAATGATAATCAACCGTGTAACCGCTGGCGGTGGAATAAGAGGAAACCAAGCTGGTAAACGCATCGGCACAACTAGTTCCACTCGAACTTTTTTGATTGTGCGTTGCTAACACGAATTGGTGTTCACCGTAGGTACTCGATCCTTCGGAGCCAGGTGGAGTAGGCAAAGGACCACTAGGTGTCGTGTCCCCGGCGTAGTAGGTGCCGCCGGAAGAGGAGGTTCTTGTTGTACCACTGGACGTGATTCCGTGAACATTAGCCCGTATCACGCTCTCCCTATTGGCGTATAATTGTCGTAGAAGAGCGGATGCTGGTAATGGCGCGGTGCTCGACTGTTGCGGACTTAGATGTCCCAGATGGTGATGCGCTCCGATCCATTGTATCGTACTCCTCTGTTGTTGTTGTTTCAGCAAAGCGTCCGTACTGAAATCGGTCGGTTGATGGAGAGTCGGTGAATGAGACTTATTGAGATTCTGAACGGGCAAATGCTTGGACATGGCCTGTTCCAGATCTTTCACGGAGGTGCCGGTACTGTCGGCGTTGCTCGTTCTATCTTCCACGCGTCTTGATTTCGGACTGGCCGAGCACAGTATTTGCTCACCTCCTGAAATGGAATGGTTTGATGGAGCTGGACTTAGAGCGTGGCTTCTCTCGTTATTCGTGACTTTCACCGTTGAGTCGTCCTCCTCGTCCTCTTCCTCGTTCGAGCTGCTATCATCCTCGTGCAACTTCCGCTTGTGCCCGCGCAATTTCACTACGAGCGTGCTAATGTTCCCTACCGCCGTCTGCGGCTCTTGTTGGAGCTGGGCTATGCTGTCGTGATGCCGGCTCCCTCGTTTCTCGCTCTCCGAGCCACGAGTATCTTCGCGATCTTCCGGCGGCGACCTGTGAGGATGTTCCTGATGCTGGTTCGGCGGTCCACCGTGGTTTCTTCCCTCTGCAATATTTTATAACACTATTGTACCTTAGCGATTAGAAAGTTTTTGAATTATCGACGAGGATGAAGCAATTAATATTTATTATTTATATTAATAATTTTTATAGGAAGAATTGGAGCAAAGTAGAACATGTTAAGATGTGTACCTCCTCTATCGGCGTCGGGGGATCCATTTTCAGGATCGTTTCCAGCAGCATCCTCGCGTTTCACACCCATAACGCCTTCCTCCAGTTGACAACAGTCCATAATTAAATTTTCGTATTCACGACCGCTACGAAGAATGATAAATCAATGGTTAATTTTGTTATTCGTTTAAAATATAACATGACATTTAATTATAGGGATGACGCATATTACGAGTACGTACCTTATAACATAATTGACACAAATGATATTCTGTTCCTCGGCGTTTTTCGAATTACACACTACCGTGGCGCACGTTTGTAGCCACGTATATCCTCCACTTTTGTTCATCAACCTATAATAATGCGTCAATACTTGTCCCTTGTGAATCACTGAAACAAATTAAACAAATTGAAATCAGGATAACGGGAGATATTTTACAATTTATAAATTTCATCGATTTAATTAAATATCGATAAAAATATACTCACGGTCGATGTGAGACTTTCGAAGACGATTCGCATCTTCTCCATGGCACAACGTATACAAATTCTTCCCCGTCAATTCGTCCGCTGTATAATCTAATAATTCGGATACCCTATAAATTGACATAATAAAAAAAAAAAAAAAAAAAGAAAAGAAAGAAATAAATATAAAATTACTTGTTATAATACTTGGTATATATAAAAGTATGTAGAAATCTTATGAACAGTTGTTCAAATTATTCCATAGACGTAATAATTGATATTCACGGTGCTCACCTTGGCTCACAGTGTGCTATCCGAAAATCGAAGTTGATCCGCGTGACGAACATGTCGGTTTCGAGGCGAATTTCGTGCACACTTGGCGGAGGAAGTGCGATCGCCAGGCCAACCATGCCTATTAACGGTGGCGCGGACTTTCTTGTATGGCTAAACGTATACTGCGGTCTCAAACGGCACAGTAGCAACACGACCTGAATTCATAATCATTTATTAACATCTCTGGTTTCGTTAATTGAACGCGATTGATTTACGAAACGTTAAATCGATTGAACTGAAAATTGATAGGATTCTATTGAATATATAAATTATGATAAACCGATGATGCTCTCATTCGTTCGGAAGATTCTTAAACTTTAATTACTTTAATTATTTTCAGCGAAAAATTGTTTCAAAAATACGAGGAGAAAGAATACACACCCTATAACCAGAAGATTTAAAATGACATCCCCTTTTCGTTAGAGTGGATTTCATCCGGACGCAGAACGCTCTGTCGTATCCTTTGTAGAGATTATTCGCTGATAACGACATTACCGAGGATACTATAAATGATAATGCAAATACAAATTATGACTAAATTGTTAGTTTCGATATTATAAAAAAAAAAAAAAAAGAAGAGATTGTTTAAACAAGGAACAGACATTTCTTTGCGAGATCTTCATTCTTTACGTCACACGAAGAATTCACAATCTATTCAACAAGATTCGTTAACTATTTTTTGTTTCAAATTTATCGACGAACGATCACGATGGGACGAGACGCATCGTTGAAACAAAAGACGTAGAAATTTACCGTCGGGATTCGCTGTGGAGGAAGATCCATGCTCTTCGGATGCCGCGCTACTCGGCGATGCTAGGCCAGAGCTGGATGAATGTGGGCCGGAAGAGGTGCTCGATGTCAAACCGAGGCCCAATTGTTCCGCTACTTCCGCGTGGTCTTGCTGATGAACGTAATCGAAAACGCTTGAACCCGTCATCTCTACCTGGAATTCGGGAAAATCTTCTTCGATTCAACGTCTTTTCGAAAGTACGCTTAAAAATATTTTTCCAGTATTTTTTTTTTTTATTAATATTTTCTTTAGTTGGAGAATACGCTCGCAAGGATTGACGAATTAATTCAATAAGGATTTTTTCTTTTTTTTTTTGAAGAAGAAGAATTTGAAGTACGATAAAAATGTAAGTCTTCGAAGAAGCACGTGCGTTTAAATATCGTAATTTACTTGACAAGTTATGGAAAGGTGACTTAATTAGAGAAAAAAACTGCAGTCGAGGAACAGCTTTCTCGTGGCGACTTCATTGCAGGGAAACTCTGTGGCTCTTAATATGATAGTTTCTAGGAAAAACTGCTTCGACGTGACCGAAACGACATTCTTTCGTTCGATGGAAGTAGCATTTTAAGGTTAGTTTCCTTTTTACAATAATCGAGAATTCTTCTTATTGTTAAATGTTTTACCGATATCAATTCGAAGGTATGGAGAATTTGATAAAATTGGTATCTCTAATTGATATCTAAAAGATATCATTATTCAATATCGATTTCTCGATACTATTCAATAGAATGGAACTTTTATCGAAATTATTTCTTATCTATTTTTAAACGATTCTCGAATTAATTTATATATATTACGTTTATTTACGTTTAAAGATATTTTCTAAAGAATTTTTCACAAATATATCTATTTTTTTTTTCTTTTTTAAACGAAAGCGGTATTTTTTATACGAATTTACGAAAAATACAAAACACGTTTGAAACTGAAATTCTATTAGTAAAACTTTGCGGTACAGCGAGAACGGAATATTGATAAATGGTAGGCAACAACGGAAATACATAACAATTTCCCCTTTTCACTAGAAAATAAACGTGTCTATCATTCACAAGATCACAAGATTTTTACCAACAAAATGACGTTGTTTAAAATACCGGAGAAAGAAAATTCCTTCGATAACATTTATTCGTACAATTATTCAAATGTATACACACTCGTCGATAATCCTAACACGTCGATTTACCCTTCGATCCCAAGATTCCAAGAACTCGCTCAAAGACAAAGCACGTAAGAGTATGTAAATCCCGCGAAGTAGATTACTAGCTCAGAGGGGCACGGTTTTCCATCGGGGGAGGCTCTCTCTCGACCAACGGAGAAAGACGGAAAGGTAGGAAGAGAGGGAGTCAATTTCATCGGGCACGGAAACTTTAATTTCAATCGAACTTGCCGACAGAATAATAATAATACTAAAGCCAGTAGTAGTAGTAGTAGTAGTAGTAGGTACCCTCGTAACCCAACAAACAGAGAGGAGAAGGAGAGAAGGGAGAGGGGGAGAGGGAGGAGAAGGAACCTATTAAGAATCAACTTCACCAACGAGACTTAGAAATCGTTAACGCAATCGGAATGCCGCTAAACTATATATATATATATATCCCATCCCTCGCTAGGGGATGCGGACTCGAATCGAAGGAAGGACTATTTAAAAAAAAGGGGAATGATTCCAATTCATTCAGCTTCGACGAAACTTCGATGATTTCCACGTCTTCGCGTTATAATACGTATATTCCGTTGTTCTCCTCTCGAAATACATACCTCCGGAACACGGAGGGGTTGCCGGCGGCCATGTTTGTGGCAACGTCGGCGCCGGTTTCCCGAATCCCCGAAACACCCTATTGATTGCTCTCCACGAGTCTCGCAGAACCGCCGAGCTCTGGTACACCGGTCACCTCCCGTACACCTCCTCTTCCTCCCTCCCTCTTTCCCCTCTCTACTCCTCCTTCCACCTCTCTCTCTCNCCTCTCTC